CTTCATATTCTTCTCTGTACTTTTTTCCAGTTTGATTTAATTGTTCTTGAGCATCAGTCATTAATGGAGCATTATATATGGAGCATTAATGGAGCAATATATACAGTATTGCATATCCCTGTTCAGCAGCACCATTACTTTCCTTACTCCTCTGTAATTATTGGACCTGATGCATACTAGAATTTCATTTACCCTTTTCATGGCTGCCACACGTTGCTGGCCCAATTAACCACAGTGGTATGTCTGTGTAGATGTCTGCAGCTGAGTCAGTATCCCAAGACTGCAGAGACAGAAATAGCTACTTTTTAATTGTTATTTCCAGTGCATTTTAGATATATTTTAGGGTAAAGTATTTTATAATTTCATGGAGCCCATTGACCAGATGTGACTATAAAAGCTCCATGTAGTTGTCTCAGATGTAGACATCCACTGTGACTAATATGTAGACTTTTATTGTTCTCTCAAGCATTTTATGTTGATTAGCTACTTGATCATAACATAAATTCTTAAACAGGGCTAAGTGCATGACCTTATACCTTGTATTTCTTAATTTCATGCGTGTCTATTGATTCAGTAAGAGTTAGGCGGTTCTTCCTAAAGCAAACTGGTGAAGCTTTCTACTTCTGTGTTCTCAGAAAATGTCATTAATACTTTTCTGAGCCAACAGTATTTCCATGGACAGAGGACAAAAAAGAAAGAAAGAAAAAAAAAGCCAAGGACTAATGTTAAAAGGTCATGTTTCATCTTTCAGGCCTGTCAGAGTTCTCCTCCCTTCTCCTCCCTAGCTCCATACATTGACCTTACTATTATCTCCCTCATCTGACAGGTGGGAACACCTGGAAGTTACACTCATAATGTGTGACTCTCACTCCTCATCCAATGAGGAACTTGTGTTCAAAGCAATAAAGACATCTCACTGTGGTTCTAGACATGTTAGTCCAAAGTTTAGTCTGGTCTGACAAGCCAATCAGTCCGTAAATACACATCTGGTTATACCTGTAATTCCATGCTTAACCTTTTCTGCAGAGGTATCAGTTCTGTGTTTGGGGCTAGTTGCATCTCCTGTTTGTGAGCCTTTGACTTCAGAAAATTGGTGGGTTTTAATCATGTATCAATCAATCTGCTTCAGAGCTGATCTGCCTCATCTGCTTTGGTGAGCATTCCCCTCCAATAAAATGACCTGTTTTCTTTCAGAAACAGTGAATCTATTATTTTACCAGTAAACTCATATAGCATTTTATCCCATTAGCTCCACAGGGCCACATCTTTACTTAGTCTTTCTTTTGAGATGTTTTCCTATCATCTCCTACTCGTGAGGGTGGAGCACCAGACTCAAGGCAGGAGTTTTCTATACTTCCAGTACCTATACCAGGCTCCAGTCATTAGGTCCCATTCTCAACAACAAAAAAAGGTTTTGTAAGGTTCAATCAGCCCCTGCTTCATCCTAAACTGCCTTCTCAGGCAACTTCTCAAGTGCGCATTAGTGTAGCCTCCTTCAGACTTTGGCTGGAGTGGGCAAAGACCCATCCAGACAGTCCATTGTAATGCAAAGGAGTCAAATGTATGGGCACCTAAACTACACATCAATCAGCCAGAAAGTGCTTAATCATGAAATTTGCTTAATTAGTGTTCTGAAACAAAAAGATTTAGATGAACCTGGTAGAGAAGGTACTATATTGACCCCCAAAACTAATTGTTTCAACTGATTTTGCAACTCATTTGACTGTTCTCTCCACTATAGCATCAACAATTGATAATGGTTGGAGAAGACCTCTGGTGGATGCTGGCCCAACTCCTGCTCACAGCATGACCAGCTTAGATACCAGGAAACAGATCCCTCAAACCTTTTCTTCCCCAACAGCTGGCTGGGGAATCTGCAACCCAGGTAATTTCCAAATGCTTCTGGAGACTGGGTAGCCAGTTTGGAGCATGAGCAGAGACCGTGAGTGACCTTGTGCAACACCTTCATTTGGAGGTGTTGCAGAAGAGAGCAGACAACGGGCTTTTTTCAGAGGGCAAAATAAAAGGACATCTTCAAAGCTGAATTCCTCTGTGGATGGAGCACATCATGCACCCACAGAGAGGTTTGAAGGTTATTCTGTGTGCGACTGAGCTGCCAGGTTTATTCATGTACGTCATTAGTGCCCTAAAGGTCCCTAGACCATTACATGCAATCATGTCCTGAGAAATGGGTGGTATCACACCGTGGTCTGCAGCACCACCTGACCCCGCAGAGGAGGAGACACCAGGCAGTGCCTATTGCCCGGATTCATCTACATCTTTTTAATAATCCGGACTCAGTAATTTTCCCTGTTGACCTCAACAACACAAATGTACATAGGAAATATGTTAACTCCCTTAAAAACCTCAAAGTAAACATAATTATCAGCTAGTGATTTCAGACAGTATTTCTTATAAAAGACGGAGAAACTACATTGCCATTCCCCTCCTTTACCTTTACCCTGTGTCTTCAGTGACACAAAAAATGCTATATGATGGTAGCAGCACAATGTTATTGTACAAAAGCCAGTTGCACAGCCAATAATTTTGTAGCTATGCTACTAGTTCTTTGAAGATGACTCAAGCGTCTGTTGGCCAGTAATAAACATAGTTTCATGTGGCACTGCAGAGATCTAAGGCACTTTCAGGAAATATGAAATCCAACAAAAAAATTAAGAATTACTAAGCTTCCTTTCAACTGCTTGACTGCTCTGTAACAAGGAATTTCCCAGGGCAGTTATTAATTTCCCATGCCTTTCTTTCCCCTTTCCTTGAATTTGTCTTAGTGAGGCTTGATAAGACCAGCAAACCAAATCACTAAAGGCATCTCTGGATCATGCATGGCATTTGTAACCAAGTTGCCTCTTCCCATGGGAGTCTGCCGATAATAGAGAAAAAAATCAACTTAGAGTATTCACAAAGTGGGTCTGAAGTGGGTTGCTTAGTTCTCCAGTGGGAAAAATGACCACGGATGCTACCATGAACACTGCCATATTTGACAGGGGAAAATATTTGACGGTATTTAATCTAGATGAATGTGCAGATCTGCTACCCAGGGAAAAAATGCTACAGGGTTCCCTCCATGCCTTCAGACACTAGGACAGAATTTTCAGTCCAAATGAGATATACTCTCAATGTTTTTCTTCTTAGAAAAAATATCAGTACTGACTCATGGAATCCAGGTGAGAAACAAGGAGCTCTGGAAACTAAAAGAGGAACTTTGCTGTGAAAGGAAGCTACGCACAACAGGCAATATAAAGAGCTTTTCAGCCTTCTCCTTTTGGATAGTTGACTGTTCTTTTGGGTCATCTAATTTTTGGGGTCTGATGCTGCTTAGCAAATGGAGAGCTTGTGAAGTCAATCCACTCTCATGAAAGCAAACAAGAATTTTCTTGCTGATGTCTGAGGGAGAAGAGAACTTTCTACCTGCTAACCAAGACCGTGAAATCTGCGTGTAATATGGTTGACATCATTGTTTTCATGATTCAGGATTTTTTGTTCTACTTCCATTTGCCTAGCACTGTCACACTTATGAACCGTTTTCCTTTTCTTTTTTCCCTGTGCTTCTGAGTGAACCACATACAATTACTACTCCTATTTACCAGTGATTGCCACATGCTTATCAAACTGTTGGATGAAAATGATAAAGCTACTATTTTTGCTTTCAACTGACCGATGAATTCAGAATCATCATTCAGAAGAGATTTTCAACATCTCTTTGCATCTGGAATGTTCTTTGCTGAGCACTGAAATCTAGATAGAAAAGATTTTGTATTTACCAATCCTTATGCCTACTGACGATTGTTAATATCTAAAGGAAACAGATGTTGCAATTTCACTTCTATCAATAATCCATTAATATGCCAAAATTACCAATTGCTCAGGTATTTCCAGAGTACGATTTTCAGGTTCATTACCATATACCAAATCTATTGTTTAAGAGCAGCAGAGATTAAAATTCTGAATGTTAGGCTAAACTCCCTGAAAGTAATAAAGAACCCTAATTATTCTGATTACATAGAGTTAAAAAAAAATCTACAGAAAGTTGAAGTCAGAAAAAAAAGTAAAGTTTTTTTGCCACTTTCTGAGTAATCATAGTTTAATTTTTTCATTTAGGTAGCCAATAACTATAATATATGGGTTGCTTTTCCAATCAATATTTTCAGTGCAAATCTAATTGTAAAGTTTAAATGAATGTAAATGAAAATCCTTTGCTCTGCATTTCTGTAAGTTTTTTCATGAACTTTTCAACCCCATGAGCTCAGACCCAGAACACTGGATGCTTAAAAGAACAACAACCATTAAAAGCAAATGGTAGCAAACTCCAACACGTTTGTAGCAAGACCTACTATTAAACAACTCACTACATAAACAGCAAGTCCATTAGAGCCACAATGTCAGAGATGCTCTGTAAGCTGAATGGGCAAAACATTTCCACAACGAGTGCAAGCCAGCAAAGCATTCCATAAGATGTCAACAGGGAAATACAATTCAGCCTTAATAGGTTCAGAGCTTATATAACTCACGCTTATGGGATATTCTACTAGAAAGGCAAGCAAGCAAGTGACAGTAAGCATAACCTGCAGCTTCCTAGAACATGCAGGAGGAATACGTTCAAACACCTGCAACATCTGAATGGACAAAAATAAAAAGAAAATAAAAATATCCCCCAATATCCCCTGATATGGTGGAAAAAAAAAAGTAGAATCACTTAACACCTGAAAATGGCTTAAGAAATAAAATCACTAGAACCAATTCATGTGCTTTTTTTTCTATTAAAACATTACCTGTCCTTCTGCAAAAATGTTAAGCCTAATTAGTAGCACAACTTAGTAGCTATCAATTTTGTGCTTGGGATGTAAACAAATTTCTTTAGTGAAAACGTGGTTCACCAAGCTATACATGAAGAACAATGAGAGATTTGCAGTTTCTCATTTAGAAAGAGGGTACTTTTGCTTAAGTGCACCAGAAAAGGAAGAAGAAACATCTTGACAACTCACCACTAGGTTTCCAATCACCATGACCAACAAGAAGACGAGAAGGCACAGTGGTTGCCCAGCTACTTCCATGCAGTCCCACATGGTCTCGATCCACTCCCCACAGAGAATTCGGAATATAATGAGGAATGAATGGAAGAAATCGTTCATGTGCCAACGTGGTAAATTGCCAGTTGTGCTTATCTTCTTGACGTTGTCCATGTAGCTTTTCCCAAAAAGCTGCATTCCCACCACCGCAAAAATAAAAACGATGATTGCCAGCACGAGAGTAAGGTTACCTAGGGCACCCACTGAGTTACCAATGATTTTAATAAGCGTATTCAAGGTCGGCCAGGACTTTGCCAATTTGAAGACTCGCAGCTGTGAACAAGACAGAAACAACAGTGTCAGTTCACGAGCAAAACAGAAGTGTCAGCTGATGAATCATTAAAATG